ACCTGATGGGAAGACCTGGATCTCCTTCCCTTGTTAGAGCGAATCCGAGGACAAATATGGCATCACAAAGAATTCAGTAAATAAACCTGTGAAAACTGCTCTGCTAAGAGTGCTTTCATTCATATGTTAAGGGTCCAAGCAGGAAACCCTAAAGTTTCTGCAAACTTTCTTCCTGACATACACTGACTCAGACTAAGCCCTCAGATTTCTTTGAAGTGTTATCTACAGCTTGATCCTTGCCGCGCCCTGTATTCCTGTGTATTACAACCCAATAAAAGCCCCTGGAGGAAGGGGCTCAAGGCTTTTTACCTCAGAGAGAGTGGCCACCTCTAGGCGTTTTTCCTCTGAGAAACTGGCCACCCCTCCTCCCCAAGTCCATCATGTCCTAGTAGTGTTTATTTTCATCCTTGGAGGACGCCGGGGGGGGGGCTTGCAGGAGAAGTCCACCCCACAAGTGGCGCCCTGGACAGGGTCCCTACAGATTAGGGACCTTCTTCATCTACCAGAGACTTTGAGCCACAATGCCACGGATGCACACCTAAGAGAGATGTAATTCAATACGCCATCCCCAGAGGGATCAGGGGTTACTCTGGTTAGGGCCCGCAGGTGTATCAGAGATAAGAAGAAAGGTTATTTTTACCACCCCTTGAGCGTTTTTCTCTCCCTTGCACTCCCCCTCCCCTTTTCGTTTGAGGTATTTTATGAGTGTTTCAGCGAAATACTGAAGAAAAGAGGCACTTCCTTCCTCCGACTCAAGATATAGGGCATCCCTACATGAGTGGGGATCCAGTGGAGGTATCTGGGGTCCAATCTCTAAGACATGAAGGGGCCTCATAGGATATTCCATCTCATGTTAATCTTGGGTCTCCGTTGGTTTTTATATTAAGTGCTAATATGGACTGGTCATCCAGTGCTCTGAGCCCTTTCAGCTGTCTAGGCAGCTGGGAAGTGAACCCGAATCCCATAAGTGGGGGTCAGGAGTGCCCAAAATTCGGTGCTTCTTTTCCTGGTGGTATTTGCACCAACAGGACATCTAGGGCACACTACACTGTGTTCCCTAGCAAGAAATAAGATCTGGAAGTGCGGGAAGAAAGAACGACTGGATTCACCGCTTTTTTGCGGTAAAAGAGATTTTAGAAAAAAAGGTTTTCTTTGGGAAAGCACAGGCACCCAGGATGGTTTCCAGAAAGATCGAGTCCATCTTCCCTCCCTCCAAGCCCTCCAAGGTACCCCTAGAAGGATCTCAAGGCAGAGAAGCAATTGCAGTTTCAGGCTCCCTCCTCTTTCCCTGGACCCGCACTGAGAGGCGGGGCCAAGCCCAGCTGGCTCAGAGCGCGCGGACACCTGGGAGGCCCAGCACCACCTGGGTGCAGGGAGGATCCTGGTGGGCGCTAGAGCGCAGCGACCCCTGTGCAAGACCCTGCCAGCGGTTGGGCCATTCTGAGGCAGCTGCCTTACAGCCTGGTTTGTGACTGGCAGAGCGAAGCCACGCCCAGGGGCGCGACCTTAATGGCGGCAGCCGAGCATAACTGGCGCACCGTTTGCTAGCAAGATATTTGGAGTGCTGAAACTGGCTTACTATGCACAGCGTCTTAAAGCCTATGCTACTAGCTTGGGCTCCTCTGGCCACTAAAACCAGCTGCTGCTTCAGTGGCCCCGCATGAGCATGCACACGCTGGCGGGAAGCATGGTGGGGGCCGGCTCTCTCTCCCGAGATGGCAGCAGCCTGAGGTGGAGATTGGTTTCCCCCGCCTAATTTTCTCTCTGGTTGGCGCTCGGAGGAGAACTCTCTGGGCTCTCTGAGCCGAGTGTCGTCTGGGACACGCAGGTGCAGTTCTCACAGCCAGAGGCGGTGGAGGCGGTAGGGTGTGCGCCAGGCGTGGTGGCGCGGGCTTGTAGTCCCACTTACTGGGTGGGCTGAATCAAGAGGTAAAGATATTTGCCAATAGACAAAAAAACTGTTTCTAAAAGTTATAAATGTCATTTGCACTCTCTGGGAGCACTGGTGGCAGTAAGGGAAGCTGTATTCAGGTTTGGGGAAGAAGCAAACCCCTAGGCTCTGTAAGCCGAGCCTGCTTGCATGTTTGGGATCTGACAGCAAGCCAGGTGGGTGCGACCCACACTTTTCCTCCCCTGGTGAAACCCCTTCTCCCTGCAGGTGGAGGGTGGCTCTGGAGTCCTGCCACTGGCAGCACCTGCAGGCTGAACTGGAATTGCGGTGTGGACATTTGGGGTAAGATAGAGGGTGAGCCACCTGTGTGCCCCAGGAAGCAGGACCGGTCATTCAGGGTCGTGGACATCTTAGAGGACCCAGTGTGCTTGGGCGTCACCATCTTGTCCACTCCAGCATTCTAGGGAGTTGCCATTCTGGACATGCAGGTGTGCATGGGTGTCACCATCTTAGATGACCAAGAGACCAGGGCGTCGCCATCTTGGACTGCACTGCTTGCTTGGGTGCCGCCATCTTGGAGCTGGGGAAGGGGGTGGGCTGAGGGTTCTCTTCAGATTATGGGCTCTGTGCTGCTGCTGTGTGGGCACAGACAGCATCAGTCAGGTTCTCTGTGTAACTGGTTCTGATAGAATTGGCTCTGCTTCTCAAAGTCACGCACTGGGGTCCAAGGGTGAGAATCTGATTTATAGGGTGTCTGCAAGGTCTAAGATTCAGAAAGCTGTAATGTGCCTGTGAACCTGGGGACTTGGAGTAAAAGTTACCTGTAGTGCTAGGGGCTTTGTGCTGCCATATAAAGAGTTTAAGTACTGAATTAAATTATAGTCCCTCCCATGTGGGAAAGAAACCAGGATGTAGTAAAAGTAAAGGATGGTTAAATCTGGGTGGGTAAACTTATGTATTAAGAGGAGAAAGTTTTAAACCCGGAGTAAAGGAAATCTCAACTACATGTTTTCTGGTTTTGTGAGGAAAAAAAAGCCAATTTCTCACGTTGGTTTTGTTTCTGATCAAAAACCCTCTACCGAGTTCAGGAGAATGCCCTTGCCACTCAGGACCCAGGAAGGGTCATTAGGGGTGATGAGACCTTCAAGCTGAGGCAAAGCAGCAAGTCTCTGCCATTGGTTCTGTTTCTAATCAGAACCCCTGTTTATCTGAAGACCTAGGAAAGGTGGCCTGTAACCAATTGGGGAGAATGCCCTTGCCACTGAGGACCCAGGAGAGGTCATTTGGACTGAGGAGAGTTTCAGGCCGAGGCAAAGCAGCATGTCTCTGCCAGGAGACAGGGCCAGAACAAGCATAACTCTGCACGGCCCAAGTGGGTGCCTTTGTGGGAGAGAATGCCTGTAGTTGTCTAATGTTCTGGAACTCCGTGCTTTAGATTTTTGGGTGTCTGTTCTGAAAAGGAACCTGAGGATTCCAAGGAAGGTTGAATTTCCATTCAGCATTGAAAAGTGGACAAAAAAAAAGATTTTTCTTCATGCTTTGTCTTCTTTCTTCCTGATTCTTATAAAATTTGGCATTTTGAAGGAGTGAGTGAAGGCCTAACGTTTCTTTGCATAAATTCAAAAAGACCAGTGGATACTGGTTTAGTAACCGAGAGTTTGACTGGAATGTCACATCCCAGGAGGCATGTATGGATTCTGGTTGTTAGCAGAACTGGGATTGCCTTCCAAAGCTAGAGAAAGACCATAACAGAACCCTGGTATTTTGGCTGGTTATATGGCTCCTGGCCGTCTTTGCCGGGAAGGAGCGAAGGTTGCTTTTCTGAAAGATGGGTAAAAGGAAACCTATAGGCACCATGGAAGTCTCAAGGATTATTATTTTTTAAATATTTTATTTATTTATCTGTACAGGGGAAGGGAAGGAGAGAGGAAGAGAAACATCAATGTATGGTTGCCTTCACGCATCACCTGCTGGGAACTGGCCTGCAGGGAACCAGCCTACAACCCAGTATGTGCCCTGACTGGGATTCGAACCACAATTGTCTGGCTCGCAGGCCCGCGCTCAATCCACTGAGCTACACCAGCCAGGACAGTCTCAAGGATTTGAGTGCAACAAGTGGTCCAGGAGAAGCCAGATGGCAAATGCGTGACCCTGCTTCTGTGCCCCTAGGGGCGGACTGAGAAGTCAGTGTGAAGTTTCCCTGTGTGAGTTCCAGCAAAGGAGACTAAAAGATCCTAGGTGATCCAGGCTGCCCTTGGTGTGTCCAAGCCAACGAACAGTCAAATTTCAAAGCGGATCCAAATTAGTCCCCTGAATAATCACCCCATGGAGGGTGATCTGAAGGAGAAAAATGGCAGTTGAAGGACAATCCAAATGCTCAATATTGGACCTCAGAGTGGCTCGTGTACCTGTGTTGAAAGTTTGCTTTCATTTGAAGGTTGAAACCGGGATCGTAATATCACCAGAGATGGACCATGGACAGGTGCAAAGGACCTGCCAAATGGCTATTGTTAAGTGTCATTGAGAGGAGGGCCTTGAAACTGCATGTTTTTTTTCAAGAGAAAGGCCCACAGGCCCAGAGACTGTGTCGGGGATGGTTGTGTGAATTGACCTGTGTGTCCTTCATTTTTCATAGGGTGTATACCGATGACCTGATGCCCTGAGTGATTGGTTGCAATCGAGGCCTCAGGTGAGGAGCCCGTCTGGGTCATGGCGCCCCTGAGACTCAGTGGTGTGTGGGAACTAAGAGGTTGGGTTGGGGAAGGGTTCGGGAGGTCCGTGGGCTTCACGTTCAAACTGATTTGCCCTTCTCTGTCTGGATGGTTTGGACAGAAAGGGCGCAGATATCGGAAAGGAGGGAAACCCTAATGTATTGTCCTCAGCCTGAGTGAAGTAGAGTGGGACACAAGGGTTTTGCCTAGGCGTAGCCTGCCTCATACTCCTTCTTCCAGACGACACAATCTTAAACTAAGTCCCCGGCTTCTTCTTTCAGTGGTTATGATTGCATGGTGTTTGCAGCTCTCTTTCCAAATGTGTCACCTGCAGAATAGGACAAGGATGCCAGCTGCCCAGTACAGCCAGCCCATGGACACCAAGCCCTAGACTTCCTGGAGACAGCCACCTGACCAGGATTCTGTAAGGTCCTTTTCCTGACAGGAAGGACTTCGTGTGTGCTTAATGGCACCTGCTTTGAGGGCACCTCGGTCCCAAGGGTAGGTAGGACGATGTCCATGTCCGGCCTGAGGCAGTTAGAAGAAGAATGAGTACTTCATTATTGACCCTTGATATGATTATAAAGTGGTTGCATATCTGAAGGGAGGGATTGCTACCTGGTGTAGCCATAGGGGACTCCAAATAGGGATTTGGAATGGGGCCCTGGACTCAGGGTGTCCAGAAGATATCAGAAATGCAGATGAGATGTGCTCACCCCTCCCTTCTCAGTCAGGTGTGCCTTGAGGAAAGAGACACATGGAGCAGGAACATACAGAGCTGTTTAGTACAGCCACAGCTTCTCAGCTATCCAGGGCACTTTCACCAAACCCATCTAGAACCTTTCTCTTGGTGCACAGATATGTGAAATAGCTGTGACCATTGCCCAAGCAAAGGGGCTGGCAAGAGACTTCTCCCTGAGATGTAACTGGGGGCAGGTCCCCTACGTGACAGGGTCTGGGTGAGAGGTAAGACAAGATTGGCTTCGTGATGTGGGGCCACACCTGTCCACACTCACGATGGCAACCAGGAAACTCGGAGTAATACGTGGATGCTGGCAGGTGTCACGGATTGCAGGTTGTGTTTGAAAAGGAGGCACAGAAGAAGACTGGCAGGGGGATTTGAACCCACACCCGGCAGCCATTGAGGGAGACCCACGTGGCTGTGGCTGTGGCAGTGCAGGGAGAGAGCCACACACTTTTGAGTAGAGTGGGGACCCACGCAGCTGTGATGGAGAGAGGTACCATGAGGTTATATCAGAGTGGGGATATCTGCAGCCTGAGGATAAAAGCACCTGGTGGCTTTGGGGTGCTCCCTCTGGCCATGGGGCCTGGGGGCCAGGAGACACTTCACCTGGATGGAGCGTGAAAGAACCCTTGGCAGTAGGCCATGAGATAATGCTGTAGGATTTTGTTTTTCTTTGTGCGTGTGTGTTTGTGTGTTTTGGGGATTTTTCTCATTTCTATCTTTATCAATTTTTTTAATTTTAATATTAATTGTAATTTTTTATTTTTTATTGATTAGGCCATTACACTTGTTCTGTTTTCCCCCATCCTACCCCCCGTTTCCACCATTACTCCCCCTTTAGTTTATGACCATGTGCTTCATGTTCTTTGGATTCTATATTTTCCATACTATTCTCCCCCATCTATTTTCTATCTACCATCTATGCTACTTATTTTCTGTACCTTCTCCCCCCTTCTTTTTCTCCTACTCCTCTGTTGCAAACCCTTCTTGAGATCTTATTTTCTATGTTTCCACTCCTGATCTAGGTGTCCTTTGAGTTTCCTTTTGTTTTTAGGTGTGTTTGTTACTAACTCTGAGTTTGCTGTCCTTTCACTGTTCATCTTTTTTTTAACTTCTTTTTCTTAGATAAGTCCCTTTAACATTTCATATAATAAGGGCTTGGTGATGATGAACTCCTTGAATTTGATCTTATCTGAGAAGCACTTTATCTGTCCTTTCATTCTAAATGAAAATTTGCTGGATAGAGTAATCTTGGTTGTAGGTCTTTGGATTTCATGACTTGGAATACCGCTTTCCAGCCCCTTGCCTGTAGGGTCTCTTTTGAGAAATCCACTGACAGTCTGATGGGAACTCCTTTGTAGGTGACTGTCCCCTTAATTTTTGCTGTTTCTAGGATTCTCTCCTTCATTTTAATCTCGGCTAATGGGATTATGATGTGCCTTGGTGTGTTTCTTCTTGGGCCCAAATTCTTTGGTACTCTCTGAGGTTCCTGGATTTCCTGGAAGTCTATTTCCTTTGCCAGATTGGGGAAATTCTCCTTTATTATTTGTTCAAATAAGTTTTCCACTGGTGGGTGTTTTTTTCCTCCTTCTGGTAATCCTGAAATTCGGACGTAGGAGCGTTTAAAGATGTCCTGGAGGTTCCTAAGACTGTCCTCATTTTTTTGAATTCTTGCTTCTTCACTCTTTTCTGTTTGGCCATTATTTGCTTTCTTCTGGTCCACTCCATTGATCTGAGTCCCAGTTTCCTTTCCATTACTATTGGTTTCCTGTTCAATTCTATTTATTTCGATTAGTTTTGCCTTCATATGTTTCTCTAATTTGTGGCTATAATCAAGCAGATCTGTGAGCATCCTGATCACCAGTGTTTTAAACTGTGCGTCTGAGAGTTTTGCTATTTCTTCATCGCTTAGATTTATATGCTCTGGGGTTTTGAGATCTTCTTGAGCCATTTTTGGTCTCTTCATACCTGTTAAGTATGAGGAGCAGAGTCTGGGACTCCCAGGTCACTGGGTTGTGAGGCTGTATGTGGGGGCGTGGTCAGAGCGGGGAAATGCTGGCACCCTCTGCTGTTTTGCACCGCTGGGTGAGGAGCAGAGTCCTAGGTGGTTCGCCAGAGCAGAGACACTCAGGTCACTGGGTTATGACTCTGTATGTGGAGGCGGGGTCAAAGCTGGAAAATGGCGGCGCCTTCTGCTGCTGCTTGCTTGCACCTGGGGCCTGCTGGGTCCCATCTAACTGCCCACTCCCTCGCTGGTCTATATGCACAGGAATGCGCGACCACAGCCAAATCTCCGCCCTGCTTTCTCACTGGTTCCCCGTGGTCGCTCACTGGGTTGCTCACTAGGTCCACCTGTTGACACTCTGCGCCTGGGTGCCATGCCTGAGTCTCTCTGACCAAGTTTTCCTGTGCAACCTCGCACAGGCAGCTGCTGGTTTTGCCCCGCTTACCAGACAAGCTGAAGAATTTGTTGTTATCATACTTCCAAAAAGTACAATTTTTCTGTGTTCTGGCTGTATTTTCTGATGCTAATATTTAGTTGACTCTAAATTTGGTTGTGTGAGAAAGCAAGGCATCTCCACCTATGCAGTTGGCCATCTTAGAGAATGCCCTAGGACTTTGGGTTCATTGGAGACCCTTCCTTGACTGGGGCACAGCTGATGGTGTCAGTGGCCTGAAACACCAATGGGTGCTTCTTTGCCAGAGATATGGTACCCTGAATGAGTACAGGGCGTTAAGGCAGCACAGTGGGGTTCTGTGGGGATCCACAAATCTGTCAAATATCAATGAAGGTGTTCGGTCACTACTTTAAGTCTGTATATTAGTTAATAGACTTTATTTTTCCTAAGGACAAATCTCTGCCATTAAGGGTGGTCTTTCCTTTCTGGCGGCAGACAGTGTAGCCCAGAAAAGGTTTTTCATGTAACATTCTAGGGCTCCCCCCCCCGGCCCTGTATGCGTGCTCTTTTCACTGTAACCTTTGTGGGAAACTCTCGTGGGACAATAATTGTCTGTGAAAGGATGAACCTCTCAGTTGCGATTGTGTGAGCCTGCTGACTTTTCCCAGTCTCCAGTACTGATCTGCAGTCCCGAGGGCATGGGTCACCTAATCACGCTAGGAAAGGCAAGCAGGAGAGGAAAAGGGGAGGGAGCAGAGACGTGAGGGAATTTTGGTTGAACACTTGGTTCCTCGGCACCATTTTGCAATAATGGAGTTTTGGATCATGGTTTTTCACCATGCTGCTCCCAAGTAGGTCCTGTCTGCTCACTTGCAGTCTGGCTGATTCCAGGTGGCAGTAAAGGAAGCTGTATTGAGGTTTGGGGAGAAAGGGAAGCCTTAGGATCTGTAACCCTGAGCCGGCATGTATGTTGGGGATTGGACAGCAAGTCAGGGGCTTGGGACCTGCACTTTTCCTCTGCCAGTGGAACCCAACTTTCTGCACATAGAGGGCGCCTCAAGTCTCGTGTCACTTTCTGTATACCGGGGGTGTTAAACCAGAGTCGAGGTCAGGCCATTTTGGGTCAGGTGGAGGGTGAGCCATGTGAATGCCTGTTTATGGAGGGGAATCAAGCATGGGCATGGCCCTCTCTTGTGACCTATTTGGTTTGGGCATCAGCGTCTTCCACACCCCAGGGTATTTTTGGTGTTGCCATCTTGGGCGACCTGGTGTGCTTGGGCGTCTCTATATGGAAATCAGGCAAGGTGGTTGACTAAGGGTTCTCTTCAGAGAGCAGGCCGCAGCTGCTGCAGTGTGGGCACCGCATCAGTCATGTTCTCTGTGATACTGTGTCTGACAGGAATTGCTGTGGTTCTCAAAGTCACACATTCGTGTCCCAATGTGAGCATCTGATTCATAGGGTGTTTGCCAGCTGTAAGATTCAGAAAGCTGCAGGCTGTCCCTCTGAATCTCGAAACTTGCTGTGAAAGGTAGTTGTACTACTAAGGGCTTTTTGCTGCCACACACTGTGGCTCAGTACATAGTTAAAATATAGTCCTTCCTATGGTGGATAGAAACCAGGATTAAAAGTGAAGGATGGTTAAATGTGGGTGTGTAACGTTGTGTATAAGAGATGTGACCGTTTCAACCTGGAGTAGAGAAACCATCAAGTCCTTGTTTTCTGATTCCTTGTGAAAAGAGCCAATTTCTGACGTTGGTGTTCTGTCTGATCAAAACCTTCTGTATTGTGACTCCTAAGGAAGGCCCCTTGACGACCTAGGAGAGGTAGGCTGGAAGTGGTAGGGTAGCATGTCTTTGCCACTGGTGACCCAGGCAGGCTCCTTAGGGGTGATGAGACTTTCAAGCTGAGGCAAAGCAGCAACCAATCTGTTTCTAATCAGAACCCCTGCTTATGTGAAGACCTAGGAAAGGAGGCCTGTAACCAGTGGGGAGAGTGCCCTTGCCACTTAGGCCCAGGAGGGGTCATTTGGGACTGAGGAGTGTTTCAGGCCGAGGCAAAGCAGCATGTCTCTGCCAGGAGACAGGGCCTGAAGGAGCATGACTCTGCTGGGCCACGGTGGGCGCCTTTGTGCAAGAGAAGGCCTCTACCTGTCTAATGTTCTGGACTCCCGTGCTTTAGATTTTTGTGTGTCGGTTCTGAAAAGGAAGCTGAGGATTCCACAGAATGATGAAGTTCCATTCTGCATTGGAAAGTGCACGAGCAGAAAAAGCATGAACATTATGGCTCTTCATGCTTTGTCTTCTTCTCTCTTCGTGATCCCTTTACAATTTGGCATTGCGAAGGAGTGAGTGATGACCTAAGGTTTCTTTGCATAAACCCAAGGAGACCAGTGTTTGATAGTGGCTTGGTAAGTGAGATTTGGACTGGAATGTCACACCCGAAGGAGGCATGTATGGATTCTGGTTTTCAGCTTAGTGGGATTGGCTTGCCAAGCTAGCAAAAGACCACAAGAGAAGCGTGGTACTTTGGTTGGTGATGCGGCTCCAGGCCGTCTTTGCCGGGAAGGAGCAAAGGTTGCTTTTCTGAAAGATGGGTAAAAGGAAAGCTATAGGCATCATGGAAGTCTCAAGGATTTCAGTGCAACAAGTGGTCCAGGAGCAGCCAGATGGCAGATGCGTGGCCCTCCTTCTGTGCCCCTAGGGGCGGACTGAGAAGTCAGTGTGAATTTTCCCTCTGTGAGTTCCAGCAAAGGAGACTAAAAGATCCTAGGTGATCCAGGCTGCCCTTGGTGTGTCCAAGCCTAGGAACAGTCAAATATCAAAGCGGATGCAAATTAGTCCCCTGATTAATCACCCCATGGAGGGTGATCTGAAGGAGAGAAATGGCAGTTGAAGGACAATCCAAATGCTCAATATTGGACCTCAGAGTGGCTCGTGTACCTGTGTTGAAAGTTTGCTTTCATCTGCAGGTTGAAACCGGGATGGTAATATCACCAGAGATGGACCATGGACACGTGCAAAGGACCTGCCAAATGGCTACTGTTAAGTGTCATTGAGAGGAGGGCCTTGAAACTGCATGTGTTTTCAAGAGAAAGCGCCACAGGCCCAGAGATTGTTTCGGGTATGGTTGTGTGAATAGACCTGTGTGTCCTTCATTTTTCATAAGGTGTATACCGATGACCTGATGCCCTGAGTGATTGGTTGCAATTGAGGCCTCAGGTGAGCAGCCCGTCTCGGTCATGGCCCTCCTGAGACTCAGTGGTGTGTGGGAACTAAGGGGTTGGGTTGGGGAAGGGTTCGGGAGGTCCGTGGGCTTCACGTTCAAACTGATTTGCCCTTCTCTGTCTGGATGGTTTGTACAGAAAGGGCGCAGATATCAGAAGGGAGGGAAACCCTAATGTATTGTCCTCAGCCTGAGTGAAGTAGAGTGGGACACAAGGGTTTTGCCTAGGCGTAGCCTGCCTCATACTTCTTCCTCCAGACGAGACAATCTTAAACTAAGTCCCCGGCTTCTTCTTTCAGTGGTTATGATTGCATGGTGTCTGCAGCTCTCTTTCCAATTGTGTCACCTGCAGAATAGGACAAGGATGCCAGCTGCCCAGTACAGCCAGCGCTTGGACACCAAGCCCTAGACTTCCTGGAGACAGCCACGTGACCAGGATTCTGAAAGGTCCTTTTCCTGACAGGAAGGACTTCGTGTGTGCTTAATGGCACCTGCTTTGAGGGCACCTCGGTCCCAAGGGTAGGTAGGACGATGTCCATGTCCGGCCTGAGGCAGTTAGAAGAAGAGTGAGTACTTCATTACTTCCCCTTGATATGATTATAAAGTGGTTGCATATCTGAAGGGAGGGATTGCTACCTGGTGTAGCCATAGGGTACTGCAAATAGGTATTTGGAATGGGGCCCTGGACTCAGGGTGTGCAGAAGATATCAGAAATGCAGATGAGCTGTGCTCACCCCTTCCTTCTCACTCAGGTGTGCCTTGAGGAAAGGGACACCTGCAGCAGGACATACAGAGCTGTTTAGTACAGCCACAGCTTTGCAGCTAAACCACAGCATGGTTACCAAACACATGTAGAACCTTTCTCTTGCTGCACAGATAGGTGAAATAGCTGTGGTCATCGCCCAGGCAAGGGGGCTGGCAAGGGACTTGTCCCTGAGATGTAACTGGGGGCAGGTAGCCTAGGTGACAGCGCCTGGGTAAGAGAGAGGTGAGAGTAGATTGGCTCCGTAATGTGGGAAAACACCTGTGCACACCCAGGATGGCAACCATTAAACTGGGAGTAACACGTGGATGCTGGCAGGTGTCACGGATTGCAGGTTGTGTTCGAAAAGGAGGCACAGAAGAAGACTGGCAGGGGGATTTGAACCCACACCCGGCAGCCATTGAGGGAGACCCACGTGGCTGTGGCTGTGGCTGTGGCAGTGCAGGGAGAGAGCCACACACTTTTGAGTAGAGTGGGGACCCACGCAGCTGTGATGGAGAGAGGTACCATGAGGTTATATCAGAGTGGGGATATCTGCAGCCTGAGGATAAAAGCACCTGGTGGCTTTGGGGTGCTCCCTCTGGCCATGGGGCCTGGGGGCCAGGAGACACTTCACCTGGATGGAGCTTGAAAGAACCCTTGGCAGTTGGCCATGAGAGAATGCCCTAGGACTTTGGGTTCATTGGAGACCCTTCCTTGACTGGGGCACAGCTGATGGTGTCAGTGGCCTGAAACACCAATGGGTGCTTCTTTGCCAGAGATATGGTACCCTGAATGAGTACAGGGCGTTAAGGCAGCACAGTGGGGTTCTGTGGGGATCCACAAATCTGTCAAATATCAATGAAGGTGTTCGGTCACTACTTTAAGTCTGTATATTAGTTAATAGACTTTATTTTTCCTAAGGACAAATCTCTGCCATTAAGGGTGGTCTTTCCTTTCTGGCGGCAGACAGTGTAGCCCAGAAAAGGTTTTTCATGTAACATTCTAGGGCTCCCCCCCCCGGCCCTGTATGCGTGCTCTTTTCACTGTAACCTTTGTGGGAAACTCTCGTGGGACAATAATTGTCTGTGAAAGGATGAACCTCTCAGTTGCGATTGTGTGAGCCTGCTGACTTTTCCCAGTCTCCAGTAGATCTCTGCAGTCCCGAGGGCATGGGTCACCTAATCACGCTAGGAAAGGCAAGCAGGAGAGGAAAAGGGGAGGGAGCAGAGACGTGAGGGAATTTTGGTTGAACACTTGGTTCCTCGGCACCATTTTGCAATAATGGAGTTTTGGATCATGGTTTTTTCACCATGCTGCTCCCAAGTAGGTCCTGTCTGCTCACTTGCAGTCTGGCTGATTCCAGGTGGCAGTAAAGGAAGCTGTATTGAGGTTTGGGGAGAAAGGGAAGCCTTAGGATCTGTAACCCCGAGCCTGCATGTATGTTGGGGATTGGACAGCAAGTCAGGGGCTTGGGACCTGCACTTTTCCTCTGCCAGTGGAACCCAACTTTCTGCACATAGAGGGCGCCTCAAGTCTCGTGTCACTTTCTGTATACCGGGGGTGTTAAACCAGAGTCGAGGTCAGGCCATTTTGGGTCAGGTGGAGGGTGAGCCATGTGAATGCCTGTTTATGGAGGGGAATCAAGCATGGGCATGGCCCTCTCTTGTGACCTATTTGGTTTGGGCATCAGCGTCTTCCACACCCCAGGGTATTTTTGGTGTTGCCATCTTGGGCGACCTGGTGTGCTTGGGCGTCTCTATATGGAAATCAGGCAAGGTGGTTGACTAAGGGTTCTCTTCAGAGAGCAGGCCGCAGCTGCTGCAGTGTGGGCACCGCATCAGTCATGTTCTCTGTGATACTGTGTCTGACAGGAATTGCTGTGGTTCTCAAAGTCACACATTCGTGTCCCAATGTGAGCATCTGATTCATAGGGTGTTTGCCAGCTGTAAGATTCAGAAAGCTGCAGGCTGTCCCTCTGAATCTCGAAACTTGCTGTGAAAGGTAGTTGTACTACTAAGGGCTTTTTGCTGCCACACACTGTGGCTCAGTACATAGTTAAAATATAGTCCTTCCTATGGTGGATAGAAACCAGGATTAAAAGTGAAGGATGGTTAAATGTGGGTGTGTAACGTTGTGTATAAGAGATGTGACAGTTTCAACCTGGAGTAGAGAAACCATCAAGTCCTTGTTTTCTGATTCCTTGTGAAAAGAGCCAATTTCTGACGTGGGTGTTCTGTCTGATCAAAACCTTCTGTATTGTGACTCCTAAGGAAGGCCCCTTGACGACCTAGGAGAGGTAGGTTGGAAGTGGTAGGGTAGCATGTCTTTGCCACTGGTGACCCAGGCAGGCTCCTTAGGGGTGATGAGACTTTCAAGCTGAGGCAAAGCAGCAACCAATCTGTTTCTAATCAGAACCCCTGCTTATGTGAAGACCTGGGAAAGGAGGCCTGTAACCAGTGGGGAGAGTGCCCTTGCCACTTAGGCCCAGGAGGGGTCATTTGGGACTGAGGAGTGTTTCAGGCCGAGGCAAAGCAGCATGTCTCTGCCAGGAGACAGGGCCTGAAGGAGCATGACTCTGCTGGGCCACAGTGGGCGCCTTTGTGCAAGAGAAGGCCTCTACCTGTCTAATGTTCTGGACTCCCTGCTTTAGATTTTTGTGTGTCGGTTCTGAAAAGGAAGCTGAGGATTCCACAGAAGGATGAAGTTCCATTCTGCATTGGAAAGTGCACGAGCAGAAAAGAGCCATGAACATTATGGCTCTTCATGCTTTGTCTTCTTCTCTCTTCGTGATCCCTTTACAATTTGGCATTGCGAAGGAGTGAGTGATGACCTAAGGTTTCTTTGCATAAACCCAAGGAGACCAGTGTTTGATAGTGGCTTGGTAAGTGAGATTTGGACTGGAATGTCACACCCGAAGGAGCCATGTATGGATTCTGGTTTTCAGCTTAGTGGGATTGGCGCTTGCCAAGCTAGCAAAAGACCACAAGAGAAGCGTGGTACTTTGGTTGGTGATGCGGCTCCAGGCCGTCTTTGCCGGGAAGGAGCAAAGGTTGCTTTTCTGAAAGATGGGTAAAAGGAAAGCTATAGGCATCATGGAAGTCTCAAGGATTTCAGTGCAACAAGTGGTCCAGGAGCAGCCAGATGGCAGATGCGTGGCCCTCCTTCTGTGCCCCTAGGGGCGGACTGAGAAGTCAGTGTGAATTTTCCCTCTGTGAGTTCCAGCAAAGGAGACTAAAAGATCCTAGGTGATCCAGGCTGCCCTTGGTGTGTCCAAGCCTAGGAACAGTCAAATATCAAAGCGGATGCAAATTAGTCCCCTGATTAATCACCCCATGGAGGGTGATCTGAAGGAGAGAAATGGCAGTTGAAGGACAATCCAAATGCTCAATATTGGACCTCAGAGTGGCTCGTGTACCTGTGTTGAAAGTTTGCTTTCATCTGCAGGTTGAAAGCGGGATGGTAATATCACCAGAGATGGACCATGGACAGGTGCAGAGGACCTGCCAAGTGGCTACTGTTAAGTGTCATTGAGAGGAGGGCCTTGAAACTGCACGTGTTTTCAAGAGAAAGCGCCACAGGCCCAGAGATTGTTTCGGGTATGGTTGTGTGAATAGACCTGTGTGTCCTTCATTTTTCATAAGGTGTATACCGATGACCTGATGCCCTGAGTGATTGGTTGCAATTGAGGCCTCAGGTGAGCAGCCCGTCTCGGTCATGGCCCCCCTGAGACTCAGTGGTGTGTGGGAACTAAGGGGTTGGGTTGGGGAAGGGTTCGGGAGGTCCGTGGGCTTCACGTTCAAACTGATTTGCCCTTCTCTGTCTGGATGGTTTGGACAGAAAGGGCGCAGATATCAGAGGGAAGGAAACCCTAATGTATTGTCCTCAGCCTGAGTGAAGTAGAGTGGGACACAAGGGTTTTGCCTAGGCGTAGCCTGCCTCATACTTCTTCCTCCAGACGAGACAATCTTAAACTAAGTCCCCGGCTTCTTCTTTCAGTGGTTATGATTGCATGGTGTCTGCAGCTCTCTTTCCAATTGTGTCACCTGCAGAATAGGACAAGGATGCCAGCTGCCCAGTACAGCCAGCGCTTGGACACCAAGCCCTAGACTTCCTGGAGACAGCCACGTGACCAGGATTCTGAAAGGTCCTTTTCCTGACAGGAAGGACTTCGTGTGTGCTTAATGGCACCTGCTTTGAGGGCACCTCGGTCCCAAGGGTAGGTAGGACGATGTCCATGTCCGGCCTGAGGCAGTTAGAAGAAGAGTGAGTACTTCATTACTTCCCCTTGATATGATTATAAAGTGGTTGCATATCTGAAGGGAGGGATTGCTACCTGGTGTAGCCATAGGGTACTGCAAATAGGTATTTGGAATGGGGCCCTGGACTCAGGGTGTGCAGAAGATATCAGAAATGCAGATGAGCTGTGCTCACACCTTCCTTCTCACTCAGGTGTGCCTTGAGGAAAGGGACACCTGCAGCAGGACATACAGAGCTGTTTAGTACAGCCACAGCTTTGCAGCTAAACCACAGCATGGTTACCAAACACATGTAGAACCTTTCTCTTGCTGCACAGATAGGTGAAATAGCTGTGGTCATCGCCCAGGCAAGGGGGCTGGCAAGGGACTTGTCCCTGAGATGTAACTGGGGGCAGGTAGCCTAGGTGACAGCGCCTGGGTAAGAGAGAGGTGAGAGTAGATTGGCTCCGTAATGTGGGAAAACACCTGTGCACACCCAGGATGGCAACCATTAAACTGGGAGTAACACGTGGATGCTGGCAGGTGTCACGGATTGCAGGTTGTGTTCGAAAAGGAGGCACAGAAGAAGACTGGCAGGGGATTTCAACCCACACCAGGCAGCCATTGAGGGAGACCCACGTGGCTGTGGCTGTGGCAGTGCAGGGAGAGAGCCACACACTTTTGAGTAGAGTGGGGACCCACGCAGCTGTGATGGAGAGAGGTACCATGAGGTTATATCAGAGTGGGGATATCTGCAGCCTGAGGATAAAAGCACCTGGTGGCTTTGGGGTGCTCCCTCTGGCCATGGGGCCTGGGGGCCAGGAGACACTTCACCTGGATGGAGCTTGAAAGAACCCTTGGCAGTTGGCCATGAGAGAATGCCCTAGGACTTTGGGTTCATTGGAGACCCTTCCTTGACTGGGGCACAGCTGATGGTGTCAGTGGCCTGAAACACCAATGGGTGCTTCTTTGCCAGAGATATGGTACCCTGAATGAGTACAGGGCGTTAAGGCAGCACAGTGGGGTTCTGTGGGGATCCACAAATCTGTCAAATATCAATGAAGGTGTTCGGTCACTACTTTAAGTCTGTATATTAGTTAATAGACTTTATTTTTCCTAAGGACAAATCTCTGCCATTAAGGGTGGTCTTTCCTTTCTGGCGGCAGACAGTGTAGCCCAGAAAAGGTTTTTCATGTAACATTCTAGGGCTCCCCCCCCCGGCCCTGTATGCGTGCTCTTTTCACTGTAACCTTTGTGGGAAACTCTCGTGGGACAATAATTGTCTGTGAAAGGATGAACCTCTCAGTTGCGATTGTGTGAGCCTGCTGACTTTTCCCAGTCTCCAGTAGATCTCTGCAGTCCCGAGGGCATGGGTCACCTAATCACGCTAGGAAAGGCAAGCAGGAGAGGAAAAGGGGAGGGAGCAGAGACGTGAGGGAATTTTGGTTGAACACTTGGTTCCTCGGCACCATTTTGCAATAATGGAGTTTTGGATCATGGTTTTTCACCATGCTGCTCCCAAGTAGGTCCTGTCTGCTCACTTGCAGTCTGGCTGATTCCAGGTGGCAGTAAAGGAAGCTGTATTGAGGTTTGGGGAGAAAGGGAAGCCTTAGGATCTGTAACCCTGAGCCGGCATGTATGTTGGGGATTGGACAGCAAGTCAGGGGCTTGGGACCTGCACTTTTCCTCTGCCAGTGGAACCCAACTTTCTGCACATAGAGGGCGCCTCAAGTCTCGTGTCACTTTCTGTATACCGGGGGTGTTAAACCAGAGTCGAGGTCAGGCCATTTTGGGTCAGGTGGAGGGTGAGCCATGTGAATGCCTGTTTATGGAGGGGAATCAAGCATGGGCATGGCCCTCTCTTGTGACCTATTTGGTTTGGGCATCAGCGTCTTCCACACCCCAGGGTATTTTTGGTGTTGCCATCTTGGGCGACCTGGTGTGCTTGGGCGTCTCTATATGGAAATCAGGCAAGGTGGTTGACTAAGGGTTCTCTTCAGAGAGCAGGCCGCAGCTGCTGCAGTGTGGGCACCGCATCAGTCATGTTCTCTGTGATACTGTGTCTGACAGGAATTGCTGTGGTTCTCAAAGTCACACATTCGTGTCCCAATGTGAGCATCTGATTCATAGGGTGTTTGCCAGCTGTAAGATTCAGAAAGCTGCAGGCTGTCCCTCTGAATCTCGAAACTTGCTGTGAAAGGTAGTTGTACTACTAAGGGCTTTTTGCTGCCACACACTGTGGCTCAGTACATAGTTAAAATATAGTCCTTCCTATGGTGGATAGAAACCAGGATTAAAAGTGAAGGATGGTTAAATGTGGGTGTGTAACGTTGTGTATAAGAGATGTGACAGTTTCAACCTGGAGTAGAGAAACCATCAAGTCCTTGTTTTCTGATTCCTTGTGAAAAGAGCCAATTTCTGACGTGGGTGTTCTGTCTGATCAAAACCTTCTGTATTGTGACTCCTAAGGAAGGCCCCTTGACGACCTAGGAGAGGTAGGCTGGAAGTGGTAGGGTAGCATGTCTTTGCCACTGGTGACCCAGGCTGGCTCCTTAGGGGTGATGAGACTTTCAAGCTGAGGCAAAGCAGCAAACAATCTGTTTCTAATCAGAACCCCTGCTTATGTGAAGACCTGGGAAAGGAGGCCTGTAACCAGTGGGGAGAGTGCCCTTGCCACTTAGGCCCAGGAGGGGTCATTTGGGACTGAGGAGTGTTTCAGGCCGAGGCAAAGCAGCATGTCTCTGCCAGGAGACAGGGCCTGAAGGAGCATGACTCTGCTGGGCCACAGTGGGCGCCTTTGTGCAAGAGAAGGCCTCTACCTGTCTAATGTTCTGGACTCCCTGCTTTAGATTTTTGTGTGTCGGTTCTGAAAAGGAAGCTGAGGATTCCACAGAAGGATGAAGTTCCATTCTGCATTGGAAAGTGCACGAGCAGAAAAGAGCCATGAACATTATGGCTCTTCATGCTTTGTCTTCTTCTCTCTTCGTGATCCCTTTACAATTTGGCATTGCGAAGGAGTGAGTGATGACCTAAGGTTTCTTTGCATAAACCCAAGGAGACCAGTGTTTGATAGTGGCTTGGTAAGTGAGATTTGGACTGGAATGTCACACCCGAAGGAGCCATGTATGGATTCTGGTTTTCAGCTTAGTGGGATTGGCTTGCCAAGCTAGCAAAAGACCACAAGAGAAGCGTGGTACTTTGGTTGGTGATGCGGCTCCAGGCCGTCTTTGCCGGGAAGGAGCAAAGGTTGCTTTTCTGAAAGATGGGTAAAAGGAAAGCTATAGGCATCATGGAAGTCTCAAGGATTTCAGTGCAACAAGTGGTCCAGGAGCAGCCAGATGGCAGATGCGTGGCCCTCCTTCTGTGCCCCTAGGGGCGGACTGAGAAGTCAGTGTGAATTTTCCCTCTGTGAGTTCCAGCAAAGGAGACTAAAAGATCCTAGGTGATCCAGGCTGCCCTTGGTGTGTCCAAGCCTAGGAACAGTCAAATATCAAAGCGGATGCAAATTAGTCCCCTGATTAATCACCCCATGGAGGGTGATCTGAAGGAGAGAAATGGCAGTTGAAGGACAATCCAAATGCTCAATATTGGACCTCAGAGTGGCTCGTGTACCTGTGTTGAAAGTTTGCTTTCATCTGCAGGTTGAAAGCGGGATGGTAATATCACCAGAGATGGACCATGGACAGGTGCAGAGGACCTGCCAAGTGGCTACTGTTAAGTGTCATTGAGAGGAGGGCCTTGAAACTGCATGTGTTTTCAAGAGAAAGCGCCACAGGCCCAGAGATTGTTTCGGGTATGGTTGTGTGAATAGACCTGTGTGTCCTTCATTTTTCATAAGGTGTATACCGATGACCTGATGCCCTGAGTGATTGGTTGCAATTGAGGCCTCAGGTGAGCAGCCCGTCTCGGTCATGGCCCTCCTGAGACTCAGTGGTGTGTGGGAACTAAGGGGTTGGGTTGGGGAAGGGTTCGGGAGGTCCGTGGGCTTCACGTTCAAACTGATTTGCCCTTCTCTGTCTGGATGGTTTGTACAGAAAGGGCGCAGATATCAGAAGGGAAGGAAACCCTAATGTATTGTCCTCAGCCTGAGTGAAGTAGAGTGGGACACAAGGGTTTTGCCTAGGCGTAGCCTGCCTCATACTTCTTCCTCCAGACGAGACAATCTTAAACTAAGTCCCCGGCTTCTTCTTTCAGTGGTTATGATTGCATGGTGTCTGCAGCTCTCTTTCCAATTGTGTCACCTGCAGAATAGGACAAGGATGCCAGCTGCCCAGTACAGCCAGCGCTTGGACACCAAGCCCTAGACTTCCTGGAGACAGCCACGTGACCAGGATTCTGAAAGGTCCTTTTCCTGACAGGAAGGACTTCGTGTGTGCTTAATGGCACCTGCTTTGAGGGCACCTCGGTCCCAAGGGTAGGTAGGACGATGTCCATGTCCGGCCTGAGGCAGTTAGAAGAAGAGTGAGTACTTCATTACTTCCCTTGATATGATTATAAAGTGGTTGCATATCTGAAGGGAGGGATTGCTACCTGGTGTAGCCATAGGGTACTGCAAATAGGTATTTGGAATGGGGCCCTGGACTCAGGGTGTGCAGAAGATATCAGAAATGCAGATGAGCTGTGCTCACACCTTCCTTCTCACTCAGGTGTGCCTTGAGGAAAGGGACACCTGCAGCAGGACATACAGAGCTGTTTAGTACAGCCACAGCTTTGCAGCTAAACCACAGCATGGTTACCAAACACATGTAGAACCTTTCTCTTGCTGCACAGATAGGTGAAATAGCTGTGGTCATCGCCCAGGCAAGGGGGCTGGCAAGGGACTTGTCCCTGAGATGTAACTGGGGGCAGGTAGCCTAGGTGACAGCGCCTGGGTAAGAGAGAGGTGAGAGTAGATTGGCTCCGTGATGTGGGAAAACACCTGTGCACACCCAGGATGGCAACCATTAAACTGGGAGTAACACGTGGATGCTGGCAGGTGTCACGGATTGCAGGTTGTGTTCGAAAAGGAGGCACAGAAGAAGACTGGCAGGGGGATTTGAACCCACACCCGGCAGCCATTGAGGGAGACCCACGTGGCTGTGGCTGTGGCTGTGGCAGTGCAGGGAGAGAGCCACACACTTTTGAGTAGAGTGGGGACCCACGCAGCTGTGATGGAGAGAGGTACCATGAGGTTATATCAGAGTGGGGATATCTGCAGCCTGAGGATAAAAGCACCTGGTGGCTTTGGGGTGCTCCCTCTGGCCATGGGGCCTGGGGGCCAGGAGACACTTCACCTGGATGGAGCTTGAAAGAACCCTTGGCAGTTGGCCATGAGAGAATGCCCTAGGACTTTGGGTTCATTGGAGACCCTTCCTTGACTGGGGCACAGCTGATGGTGTCAGTGGCCTGAAACACCAATGGGTGCTTCTTTGCCAGAGATATGGTACCCTGAATGAGTACAGGGCGTTAAGGCAGCACAGTGGGGTTCTGTGGGGATCCACAAATCTGTCAAATATCAATGAAGGTGTTCGGTCACTACTTTAAGTCTGTATATTAGTTAATAGACTTTATTTTCTTTTTTTTAAATTTTTTTTTATTATGCTGTTACAGTTGTTCTATTCCCCCTTTCATTCCCCTCCAGCCTACACCCCATCTTCACCATTACCCCCCCTTTGGTTTATGACCATGTGTCTCAATTCCTTTAGATTCTATATTTCCCATGCTATTCTTGCCCCCCCTTCTATTTTCTATCTACTGTCTATGCTACTTATTTTCTATACCTTCTCCCCTCTTCTCCTCCTCCCACTGCCCTTTTGCTAACCCTCCTTGAGATCTTCATTTCTATGTTTCCATTCCTGATTTAGTTGTCCTTTCATTTTGCTTTCGGTTTAGGTGTGGTTGTTAATAACTGTGAGTTTGTTGTCCTTTCACTGTTCATGTTTCTTTAACTTCTTTTTCTTAGATAAGTGCCTTTAACATTTCATAGAATAAGGGCTTGGTGATGATGAACTCCTTGAATTTAATCTTATCTGAGAAGCACTTTATCTGTCCTTCCATTCTAAATGAAAGTTTTGCTGGATAGAGCAATCTTGGTTGTAGGTCTTTGGATTTCCTGACTTGGAATACCTCTTTCCAGCCCCTTCTTGCCTGTAAGGTCTCTTTTGAGAAATCTGCTGACAGTCTGATGGGGACTCCTTTGTAGGTGAATGTCCCCTTAGCTCTTGCTGCTTCTAGGATTCTCTCCTTCATTTTAATCTCGGCTGATGGAATTATGATGTGCCTTGGTGTGTTCCCTCTTGGGTCCAACTTCTTTGGTACTCTCTGAGCTTCCTGGATTTCCTGGAAGTCTATTTCCTTTGCCAGATTGGGGAAATTCTCCTTTATTATTTGTTCAAATAAGTTTTCCACTGGTGGCTGTTCCTTTCCCCCTTCTGGTACCCCTATAATTCGGATGTTGGAGCGTTTAAAGATGTCCTGGAGGTTCCTAAGACTCTCCTCACTTCTTTGAATTCTTGCTTCTTGACTCTTTTCTGTTTGGCCATTATTTGCTTTCTTCTGGTCCACTCCATTGATTTGAGTCCCAGTTTCCTTTTCATTGCGATTGGTGTCCTGTGCAATTCCATTCATTTCAATTAGTTTCGCCTTCATATATTTGTCTAATTTGTGGCTATAATCAACCAGTTCTGTGAGGATCCTGATGACCAGTGTTTTAAACTGTGCGTCTGAGAGTTTTGCTATTTATTCATTGCTTAGATCTATAGGTTCTGGGGCTTTGAGATCTTGCGCCAAATTTGGTCTGTTCGTGCCCTTTAAGTGTGAAAAGGGGCGCCTTGGACTCCCAGGTCGCTGGGTTGTGATTCTGTATGTGGGGGCATGGTCAGAGCAGGGAAATGAAGACCCCCTCTGTTGTTTCTGACATCTGGGTGAGAAGCAGCACCTTAGGTGGTTCCCCTGGGCCAGGCCACTCAGAGTCGCTGGGTTATGATGCTGTATGTGGAGGCGGGGTCAGAGCAGAGAAATGGTGGCGCCCTCCACTGCCCTTAGCAGCAGGACCCGCCAGGCCTCGGTCCGACCTCCCACTCCCTTGCCTGTCCACCCATGCACAAATGCGTGACCACAGTCAATATGCAGCACCGCTCCTCCGCTGTCTCCCCCGAGGTCGCTCATCTGGTCGCTCGCTCAGTCGCTCACTAGGTCCAGCCCTGCACCTGGATTCCATGCATCTGGATTCCTTGCGCCTGAGTCTGTCTGTCTGACCGAGTCCTCCTGTGCAACCCCGCTTGACCAGCTGCTGGTTTCGCCCCTTACCGGTCAGGCTGAAGAATTTGTTGTTAACGGACTTCCAACAAGTTCAATTTTCCGTGTTCTGGCTGTGTTTTCTGTTGCTAATATTTAGTTGTCTCTAAACTTGGTTGTGTGAGAAGGCACGGCACATCCACCTATGCCTCCATCTTGGCGGAAGTGCCAACCTTACCTTTTCTATGGACAAATCTCTGCCATTGAGAATTGTCTTTCCTCTCTGGCAGCATACAGTGCAGCCCATGGATGGTTTTTCATGGAACAGTCTAGGGCTACCCTCCTTTGCCCTTTATGTGTGCTCTTTTCACTGTAACCTTTTTGGGAAATTCTCTTGGGACAGTAATTGTATGTGAAAAGATGAACACCTCAGTTGCTATTGTGTGTGCTTTCTGACTTTTTCCAGTCTCTAGTAGTTCTCTGCATTCCTGAGGGCATCGGTAACCTAATCACGCTACGAAAGGCAAGAAGTGGGGAGGGAGCAGAGAAGTGAAGGAATTTTGGTTGAACACTTGGTTCTTTGGCACCATTTTGCAATAATGGAGTTTTGGATCATGTTTTTTTCACCATACTACTTCCACGTAGGACCTATTTGCTCACTTGCAGTTTTGGTGATTCCAGGTAGCAGTAAGGGAAGCTGTATTCAGGTTTGGGTGGAAAGGGAAACCTTAGGCTCTGTAACCCAAGCCTATAAGTATGTTGGTGATGGACCAGCAAGTCACGGGCTGCGACCTTCACTTTTCCTCTGCCAGTGGAACCCAACTTTCTGCATATGGAGTTTGACTCAAGTCTCATGTCACTTTCCGTACAGGGGGGCTGAAGCATTTTGGGTCAAATGGAGGTTGAGCCATGTGAATGCCTGTTTATGGAGGGGAATCAAGTATGGGCATGGCCCTTACTTGTGACCTATTTTGTTAGTTCATCAGCATCTTCCACACCCCAGGGTACTTTGGTGTTGTCATCTTAGACGACCTGGCGTGCTTTTGTGCCTGTATTTGAAATCAGGAAAGCGGGTTGGCTAAGGGTTCTCTTCAGAGAGCAGGCTTCAGCTGCTGCAGTGTGGGCACCACATCACTCATGTTCTCTGTGAAACTGGTTCTGATAGGAATTGCTGCGGTTCTGAAAGTCACAAATTTGGGTCCAAAAGTGAGCATCTGATTCATAGGGTGTTTGCAAGCTGTAAGCTTCAGAAAGCTGCAGGATGTCCCTGTGAATCTCGAAACTTCTTGTGAAAGGTAGCTGTACTTCTAAGGGATTTTTACTGGCACATACTGTGGCTTAGTACTTAGTTAAAATATAGTCCTTTCTATGTGGGAAAGAAACGAGGATTAAGAGTGAACGATGGTTAAAACTTGGTGTGTATTATTGTATGTAAGAGATGTGACATTTTTAAACCTGAAGTAGAGAAAATGTGAACTGTTTGTTTTCTGTTTTCTTGGAAAAAGACCAAATTTTCACGTTTGTTTTGTTTCTGATCAGAAATCTTTTGTAATGTGACCCCTAAGAAAAGTGGGATCACATTCTGACCTAGGAGAGGTCGCTTTTATGTTGTTTGCTAGCATGTTTTTGCCACTGCGGACCCAGGAAGGCTCATTAGGTTTGATTATACCTTCAACCTGTGGGAAAGCAGGATGTCTCTTCCATTTGTTCTGTTTCTAGTCAGGTCCCGTGTGTATGTGGAAACCTAGGAAAGCTCACATCTGACCAGATAGTGAGAACGCGTTTGTCATTCAGGACCCAGGAATGGTCATTTGCGTCGGAGTGTTGTTTCAGGGCGAGGAAAAGCAGCATGTCTCTGCCAGGAGACATGGCTGGAAGAATCATATTTCTGCAGGGCTCTAATGAGTGCCTTTGTGTAAGAGAATGTCTCTTCCTGTCTATTGTTCTAGAACTTTTTGTTTTAAAATTTTCTTTGTTTCTGCACTGAAAAGGAAGCTAAGGATTCCAAGGAAGGTTGAATTTCCATTCTTCATTTGAAAGTGAACAAGGAAAAAGATTTTTCTTCATACTTCATCTTTTTGTTTCTTTCTGATACCTTTAGAATTTGGCATTGTGAGGGAGTGAATGATGACATAAGGTGTTTTTGCATAAATGCAACAAGACCAGTTGTTGATATTGGCTTTGTAATCGAGATTTTGACTGCAATGTCACACCCGAAGAAGACATGTATGGATTCTAGTTGTTACTTGAACTGGAATTGACTTGCAAAAGTAATGAAAGCCCACAAGAGAATCCTGGTACTTTTGTTGGTTATGAGGCTCCTGGCACTCTTTGCAGGGATGGAAGAAAATTTGCTTTTCTGAAAGATGGTTAAAAAGAAACCTATAGGCATCATGAGAGCCTCAAGGATTTGAGTGAAACAACTGCTACAGGAGCAATCAGATAGCAGATCAGTGTTCTTGCTTCTGTGCCCCTTAGATCCAACTGAGAAATCCATCTGAATGTCCCTGTGTGAGTTCCAGCAAAACAGACCTAAAGATGAATCTTTTCCAGGCTGCTTTACATATATGCATACTTCATTAAGCTTTTGTTCATCCACAGCCTCATTTCAGGTTTAATTGTTTGAGATAATGTCTTGTATGACAGGAATCTTCCTATTAACAAGCATCGTTTATATGATTTCATGAGTTCTGACTTTTATGGTACAACACATAACAACACATTGCAGACCTGTTTTTCTGAAAGTGAGCACTGGTCATTTCCTTGGCTCAAGGTGACTCTGCCAACATCTAGTTTGTGTCATGGGAGTGTCTTCATATTTTTATAAGGCACAGTTTGCATGTCTAAAAAATGGATGGTGAAAAATAAACCTTGTTTTTAAGGGTAAAAGGGGGAGGGATTTGGAGGAACAAATAGAAAGGACACAGTAACGAGAACTAAGGGGGTGGAAGGGGGGGGGGGGGGGGGCGGGATGGGTGCTGTATTGAAAAATACTTTTTTTAAACCTTGTTTAATTTTAGATGACTTAAATAGATAAGTCATGGCAGATTTTTTCTTGTGCATTTTCTGCCAAATATGCAGTTAGCCTAACTGAGGTTGTTGTATTTCATAATTTCAAGTTTTTATAAATTACTTTTCTTTATGCTTATTTACCTGTGGCCATTATGAGTTTCAAGAAGAACATGAAAAGCTACTTTATAGAAACTTGTCTTGCCATTTTAGGGGTCCTGGTTGATGTTTTGCAGTAGCCAGGTAAGGCATTTGCACAAACAGCCAAATTTCCAAGCACCACTCAGATTTTTCATATGATTTTGAATATGCTTCACTTTGGAAGCCATATGTTATATACCTGCTAATGCAAACACATTCTAAGACAACTTGGAACACTATCAAAGAGGGCATAATAAAATCTTTACCTCAGTTTCAGTAGAAGACTCAGGAAATTGTAAGATTCATTATTTGAAATCCCTTGTCGTAAGTCTTTTATGGTATTTTCCTAGTGGGTGTTTTTTTTATTTTTTTGCATCTGGTGACATTTTTTGAATGGTGACTAGTGGGATCGATCAGGATGGGACACAGGACCATATAAAAAGGGAGTGACTTTTGTATCCAGAAGAAAAACCTCATGTTTCTACAGAGTATAGGTTTAATTGGAGAATATTAGTTTGTGAGTGAGTAAGGCATGGCAGAATCCTAGATTTGCTCCAAGTCAATCTTAATTTGTGTCTTCTTCTATTTGTTCTCATTTCAGGTGCTGGCTCCACTGTGGTGTCCATCACCAGTATCTTCACCATCAGTGGTTTGTGCCATAAAAGGACATGTGACTAGACCCCGCACAGTCAAGTTCCACATAGTCACTTGCATAAAACCTGATTAGAAACACTGGTCAGATAGCTCATTTCTTTTTCAGGTTTAGCCAAAGCCTCCTTGAGTTTATTTGTACTTTCACAGAGGATATTTAGAGATGAAAGTGTATATACTTCAACGTCTAAAATTTTAGAAGTGCCCAAACTAGGTGGTCATTTTAATGTCTAAAACTTGCATTTTGTGATTTTTTATCTGAAATACTGAGATTAAAATAGACTTGACTCAAAATGTGTTTGGAATAATAAATTTGAAATTGCATTTTTAAAAAGTAGTAATTTTCATTTATGATACTATGTATGAATAAATTAACTGTGAATAATGTTCTTAAATGCCACCTCAAACTTATGACATCATAAATAATTAATAAAGGATTTTCTTGTCCTAGCTGGTGTCACTCAACATAGTGAGCTTTACCCTGTGAACCTGAAGTTCGCTGGCACATACCTGGGATGCATGTTACGTCCCATTTGGGGAGCACTTGAGAGGCAACAGATGAATGATTCTCTCACACATTAATGTTATTATCCTTTTTTTTCTCTCTCAATTCTCCTCTTTCTAGAAGTAAATAAACACAATTTTTTAAAGAAAAGGCTTTGGTTGATAATTTACTATGCAAGTCACTGTGTAAGTTTGGTTGCATCAAGAGGAAACACCTCTAAACACAAGGCATTTGACCATTAATATGAGTTTTTAAATTGCATTTTTCTAATGATTATTGATATTGAGAATACTTTCACATGTCTATTGACCTGTTATGCCCCCTTTGCAGAAGTGTCTATTCATGCTCTTTTCCATTTTTCAAAATTTGATAGTTTCTGTTTTGGTGTTAATTTTCTACATTCTATAAATTTTGGATGTCAAATCCTTATTAGATGTAGTGGCAAATTCCATTTTCCTAATTCCAGCCACATTGATGTGATTATGGGCCAATCTGCACATTTAACCTTATGGACATGCAGCCTCTCAGGAAATAGAGCGTAAAGTGTTAGGGATGACAAAAGGTGGTGATATTCCTACCTCTCCCACAGGCGTCACATTTTCTGAGAGACTAAATGATTTCTCTTCAATGCCTCTGTTGCTCTTTTACATATCCACCTGTTCCCATTTTTCTAGTGGATTCTTTGCCAGACAGGATGAGAATAACGTCAAATTGCCATCTGGCTATTAACTGGGTCTACACCCACATGCCATGCAAGGAAGCGACCCCAGGAGACAGACAAAATGTATTAGGTTGGGGATGAAAGCACAGTGGAAGGGAAGATTTATGGAAGGATTCCCCCAAGATGAGGCCCTAATACCTTCTCACTACTTTACACATGAAGTCACTGTGGCAAAGGACTCACACACTCTCTCCACTGTGTATCTCTTTCTTTAAAAAAAAATAGTTTGGAGACAATATGTACTAATTGTTATTTAAATATTTGGCAGAGTTCACCTAATAAGCCATCTGGTCCTGGGCTTTTGTTTTTTGGGACTTTTGATTATGGCTTCACTTTCACTGTTGGGAGTTGCTCTGTAGACCTTTGCTGTTTCTTTCTGGATGAGTTTTGGGGAGCTCTATGTTATTGACAAACCTCCATTTTATCTAAATCATCAAATGTGTTAGTATGTAATTGTTCATACTGTTTTCTTTTTCATGAATTTTAAAACCTGTGGCATCTTTGAGAATTTCCTTCTCATTTTCTTATATCTGCCTTTTATTGATTATGCCATTACAGCTGTCACTTTTTTTTTGTCTCTATTATTCCTCTCCTTCCTGTACTCCACCTTCCACCAGCATTTCCCCACCTTAGTTCATGTACATGGGTTATACATAAGTCCTTTGGCTTCTTCATTTCCTGTACTATTCTTAAGCTCTCCCCGTGTATTTTTTACCTAACATATATGCTTCTTATTCCCTGTACCTTTAATTGCATGCTGCTCCCTGCTACTGATATCCTTCATTATGAGCTTCATTTCTGTGAATGCATTCTTGTTCTAGCTGTTCCCTTAGTTTGTTATTTTAGTTTTTCAGGTGCCATTGTTGAGAGTTGTAAGTTTATTATTTTACTGTACAGATTTTTTATCTTCTTTTTATTAAGTTAGTCACTTTAACATTTGATATAATGAGGGCTTAGTGTTGATGAACTGCTTTAACTTGATCTTATCTGGGAAGTGCTTTCTCTGCCCTGCCATTCTAAATGATAGCTTTGCTGGGTAGAGTAATCTAGCTTGTAGGTCCCTTACTTTCATGATTTTGAATGCTTCTTTCCAGTCTCTTCTTGTCTCTGAATTTTTAGAGAAATCAGCTAATATTTTTATGCAAACTCCCTCAGAGGTAACTGCCTCCTTTTCTCTTGTTTTTAAGAATCTCTCCTTATCCTTAATCTTGGTTAATGTAATTATGATGTGTTTTGGTGTGTGCTTTCTTGGGTCCAAATTGCTTGGGAGTCTCTAACCTTCATGGTCTTCCTGGAAATCTGTTTCCTGTTCTAGATTATGGAAGTTCTTTTTCATCTCTGTTTTCAGATAAGTGTTCAATTTCTTGCTCTTCCTCTTTCTCTGGCACCCTTATGATTCAGATGTTGAAATGTTGAAAATTCTCCCAGATGTGCCCAAGGCTCTTCTCGTGTTCTTGAATTCTCGTTTCTTTACTGTGTTGTGGTGGAAGGTTTATTTCTCCCTTTTGTTCCAAATTATTGATTTTTGTCCAGGTTTCCTTCCTGCCACTGTTGGTTCCCTGTACATTTTCATTTATTTTGCTTTGCATAACCTTCATTTCTTCCTCCATTTTATGACCATACTCAACCACTTGTGTGAGCATTCTGATTACTAGTATTTTGAACTGTGCATCTGATAGGTTAGCTGTCTTTTCATCACTTACTTGTACTTTTTCTGGAGCTCTGATATCTTCTTTCATTCAGGTAGTAATTTGTTTTTCTCAGAGCACCAGTTATGTAGTGAGGTGTGGAGCCTCTGTTCTTTGCCAGGGCAGGGACAATCCACATCTCTTTGTGGTGGGGCTGTATGTTGGGGAGGGGTTTGAGAGGAACCAAAGCTTCTTGCCCAACTCTAGGCTGCTTTCAGTCACTTATTCTAATACCCACCAGAAAATTAAATCCTTCCCTTGTGGATTCCTGCTTGGGTGGTTTTGTTCCAGAACCCGTGGGTCACTCAAATGGACCCTCCTGTGTGTCTGGGAATTTCTGCCAACACCTCTACCCCACAGGTATTTGCAATGAATGGTTTTGAGGCTTATTTTCTCACACTAGAACCATAGTTTGCATGGTCTCTCTCCCTCCTAAGAAGTTCCTCCTAGTTTATCCACACAAAAATGTGGGATCACTAGTTCTACTACCCGCTGCTTCACGTGGTCCACCTGCCATTACCTCTCCTGCCCATTAATGCAGCTAATGCCTTGCAAGCCAAAACTTTCCAATGTGTCAGCCCATCTCTGCCCCTTCTCCCTGTCTGGGAGGAGCTAGAGAGGGAAAATGAAGGTGACCTTCTGGGGTCTAGCTCACTCTCCAAGAAACTTTCCTTTGAGATTCAGAGTTTCTTCCACCAAGGCAACCCCCAACATACTTCACAGTCAAGTCTGATTCTCAGTATCCTGTTCATCCAGTTCCACCCACACAGTCCATTACTACACCACTTTCTCTAGGCATGCCCTGCCCATGCATTGCAAAGCAGCAGTATGGGTTCTGTCCTTCTGCCTCTCTTACTGGTAGGCTTGGTCTGGTTTACTGTGTCTTTAATTACTTGATTGTCAGAGCTCCATGCAGTTTGGTTTTGTGGCACTTCTGGTTGTTTATTGATTTTAGTTGGGTTGTTATTCTCCTTTTGGTTGTGTGAGGAGTGAAGGGTTTATTCCTATGCCTGCATCTCAGATGGAACATGCATCTTGTCCTGAGTTGTTTCTTTAAAGTTTTATTTTTTGTTTTTATATTGTTGTTGGGGGCAAATTTTTCCACAAGTCCTCCCACCCACCACGGATGAAAGAAAACTCTACCAAGACATGATCTGCTTGGGGAGCAGAGGTGGCCAGTTTCTCAGAGGATAAAGACCTTAAGCCCCATCCTCCAGGGGTTTATATTGGGTCGTAACACACAGGAATACAGGACAATAAGGTTCAAACAGTAGATAACATTTCAAAAAAAAATTCAAGACTTAGTTTGAGTGTCTTTCAGGAGAGGGGGTTTTCAGAAGCTTTAAGAGATATACTCATTTCCTGCTTGAATCCTTAACATATGAATGAAAGCACTCTTAGCAGAGCAGGTTTCCCAGGATTTTTAGGAATTTTTCTTATGCCAGATATTCCCGGATCTGCTCTAGCAAGGCAAGGAGCTGCACCACTCCCCATCAGGTTTCATGCTTGAGTGAATAAAAAGCCAGGAAGTGCTTCTCCCAGAGGACATGGGGACTCCGGCTATGTCACATAGCTAGGGGGGAAAGGGTCTACTGCTCGCACTTTTTTGCAGCCCCCCCAAGTCCTTCCATGATGGCCCCCCAAGTGATCGAATATGGCTTAGGTTTCCCATCTCTCTGTGAGGGGTCTTACCTGTCATTGACTTCTGACCATGCTTTGGGGGCAGGATGAGGAAACTGAAGCAGCATTCGCTACCAGAGACAAGCCTTGTTTCCTGTGGCTTGGCATTCCTGAGGTTATTCACTCATCCTTAGCCATGGGGGTATTTACAATTCCTGAAACCAGGCAGAACTGTTCCCAACTTATTGTAAAGAAGGGAGAAAGAGACAGAGAGAAACTTCAATGTGTGCTTGTCCTTCACACACTCCCTAGTGGGGACCTGACCTACAAGGCAGGCATAATTATTCTTGTAGTTTTGAACCTAGCTGTTGTCAGGGTTCTCATGTCCACTCAGTGCTTTTTCATAGTTCCTTGTTTTGTTAATACTATGAGGATTTATCAGATGTGCATTTGCCACATAAAGGCTTGTCTATTTATGTGTTTTTGACTCCAGTTCTTTCCCTATAGTCGATTATCTAGCCAACTGAATTGCCCAATTACCCCATTTCTAAATC